CCTTTGCAGCCTCTCCCTGCTGTGTGTCTGCTCCCTTGGTAGCTGTGCTGTGGGAGGATATTCTTTTGCAGAGATGGCATATGGTGCGGGAGGGATTTGACACAGCTCCTCATGCTTCTTGTCTCAGTGATAATCTCCTTTACTTGGCTGGCCCCAAGTTGAGAGGAATGTGTGGGGAGGCAGTTAGAGATTTAGGGAAGATGAATCCTTCACTTTTTTATAGTATATTTGGGAGAGGAAATGGTGAACCTGTCCCCTCCCTCCCCCTCGCTAAGAGCAGTGCTTTTGCACCTCAGCTGGGACCAGGCATTGGGTTGCTCTTGCTTTCCAGTGTTTGTCCTTTTTGACTGATCACTGTTCTGGTCTTCCTGTCTTCAGTAAAAAGGTCTCCTAATCCTCTCTGAATACCCAGGTCTTGCACTGTGCTTAAAGGTCTTCAGTTCCTCATATATCTCGTCATTGCTCTAGACTTGCATTGTCTATCTTCAGTACACTTGTCACCTTCAATTCATTGCTTTCTGCCCTGGGGCTTGACAGAAAACTCACCGCACTGCAACTGCACTGAAGCAGCTGCATGGTTCTGCCTGTTGCTTGTGGTCTTCCTGCTCTGCAGTTGAAGGCATCTTCCCAGCACTGGTGCATTTGTGACTCTAGATGATAAGCCACTTTCTCTTCCTATTTTAAGACTTTGAACACAACACTGTAAAGTTTTGAAACCTCAGCATTTAAAGCTGTGAAAGGAACAGTGTCCTGTGAAATCCTGATCCTGTAGATCATATGTATTGTCTTATCTAGGAATGGGCAGCAGTGATGAATGGTCCGATGTTCAGGACATCATAGACTCTACTCCAGAGCTGGATATGTGTCAAGACCCCCGGCTGGAACGCACTGGTAACAGGTATTGATTATGACTTTTCACTGTGTGCTCTTCTGCTTGGTTTTATGAAGAGTGAGGAATGGATGCTGTGGCTCACACTGAGTTCAAGATGCAGCTATTTAAGAAAGTCTGTATGTTCTGCCTAGTGTGAATATGAGGGGTTCTGACCTTCTTAGAGTTCTCCAGAGAAGGGAAATAAATGTCTGCTGGTAATGTGCAGAAGGATCTGTCCAGTTGACCCAGAACTGACTTGTTTGCCTTGCTGGATCAGGGAGGATGGAGAAGTGGAGCAACAGGACATTTAAGACAGGCAGAGAAGACATGGGCTTAAACTAACAGGAAGAGGGAAAAGATGCATTTGTCTAATAAGAGATCAGTTCTGAATTCAGTTTTGAAACCTCAAGCTTTTTTCAGTTTTGATTTTTTTCAAGTGTTTGAATAGCAGTAGCAGGGCTGCTCCATGAAAGGAGGATAAGCAGGAGTAATCCCAGCGATTCCAGTCCTGCAGGTTCTGATCAGAGAGGACAGACCACTGATAATGAGCTCCATCAGCAGCCCCAGACAAGGCAAGGGGATGAATTGGGTCCTGGTGCTACCCATGAGCAGCAGGAGACAGGGCTGAAGACAGTGAGAGAAGGACTGAAGGCACAGGCATGAGGTTAAAGGGAGCCCTTGGACCAGTGGGTGGGTGTGGGTCCCAGGTGAGGCTGGTCAGAGCAATTTTAACCCATCAGTGCACTCAGGGCCTCCACAGAGTTCTCTGAATTAGCAGATTTTTACTGAACTACTCTGCTGCTCTTGTTCCTGTCACTCGTTTTGTGCTAAATAGGAAGCTCCCTAAAGGCTATTAATTTTGGCACCGTATTTCTGTGAAGTGTGTATTAGTCTAGAATTATTAGGCTAGGTACCTTGATTCATTTCTGCTAAGGTCAGGTGGTTAATTTTACAGGAGTCATTAATTTTTACCCTCATCCAGTGGGTAATTTGGCATCACAGCAGCAAAAATAACCCCTTAGCTCTTGCAGGTATGCAGAAGATAATACCCTGACAAAGTCAAGGCAAGATTTTCTCACACTCCAAATCTGGACTGGATTTGCCCTGTTGAGCACCCTCATTGAGAAGAGTATGAACAGCAGTAACAGAGACTCAACTGTGAAACCATGCACAGTTAAGCTCCCCTCAGAATATGTAGGAGGCATGGGCAATTTTTAAGGTCAGATGCAGGAGGAATCTAGGTAGCTGAAACAGCTCTGTGTGGGGAAGACAAAAGTGACTGATGAGATCAGATCAAAAATTGGTCAAAGCCAAGGAAAAGCAAGGAGTGGAGAGGATTGCTGCACTTTGGCGCTCTTCAGGCAGTGATCTCTGATCCAGGTAGTGAGACTGAACGCTACCGGAGACACAAGCTAACTCAAGCTGTTGAACAGTGTGCTTGCTGCTTTAAAAGCATAAGGCTTTTGAGATATGTACAGATTCTGAAAGTTGAGTGTTGAAGAGGTAGATTCAAGCTGATTTAGGTCTTCAGGTCAGATGCTGAGTGCTGGTTGCTTCTTGTCACTTATGCTGCCCCTTAGACTGCCTGAACTGATGAACTGTGGTGCAGTCAGAGCACCTGTTTGTAACTCATGAATTATCTCAGATGTCTGGGTAGCTGTAATTTTTCTGTATTTGAAAAAAACCCCGTATATTTTTCCTTTTCTCTGCAATGTGCTGTAACTCTGCAATAAGGGAGGCAGCTACCCTACCTCATTTGTAACCTCAAGACTTTGTCACTGAGACTTGATTTATCTGAGAATGAAGCCACACAACTTGAGATAATCTCAAGGTCAGTGGTACTGACCTTTCTGTTAGACTGCTGGAAAATTTGCCCTGCATGCTGGCTGATTGCTCTCATACAAGGCAGGGCACTTAAAAGTGTTTATACCCACATTAAGACCATTTTTTAGAGTAGGCAACAACAATCACAGAGGTTGCCTCACCCTCACCTCCTGTAACAGCTACGTTCTATTTGAGCCTTGAGACTGTCAAGAAACACAAGAAGATTCTTGATGGTACCAAAACCATTAAGAGGTGGAAATGTGCTCCCATGTGATCTGATTGGAAAACAATAACTTTGATTTACCTTTAATTAAATACATTTTGCTGATAATGTGAAGAAGCATTTCAGCACATAGACTCATCCCAAAAAGAAACTAATCCTCAGGCTGATTTCACTTACTAGTTGGCGAAGAAAAAAAGACCATTACTGTTTTCAGCATTTGAATCCTTATCTGATCTTACTGCTGTCTTAAGCCTGTTCTCCAAATTGATAGGAATGTGGGAATCCTTGCAGAGTCTAAAAAGTCAGAGCTGAGAGCTTCTATGAGTTGAAATTTTTCTATCAGTTATTGCATAGTCATTAACTATTATGATTTCAAAGGAAGTCATCTTGGTGAGGTTTGAGGTTGTGCTTGATAGGAACTTGTCCTCGATATGGGGAATAAAACATGCTTTTTTTCTTTACTCAATATGTACTCTGAATCAGCCCATGGTGAACAGGTGGAATGTGCTCTCAGGGTTTTGTTTGCAATGGCCTTGGATGCTCAGTATTTCAGAGAGGAATGTTCTAGTTTAAATGTTGCCAAGTAACAAGAGTCCTTATTTTTTTTTTCTTCCAACAACAGCCCAACACAGGGGATTGTGAACAAAGCATTTGGCATCAACACAGACTCTCTCTATCATGAACTTTCCACAGCAGGGTCCGAGGTTATTGGAGATGTTGATGAAGGAGCAGATCTGCTAGGTAAATCTTGTTTAGAACCATTCTCTTTTCTCTGGTACAATGACAACTATATTAAGCTTCTAGAAGCCCTTAGATTATATTTTTTTTTTCAGAACTTGGATGTTTAGCTTTTTAAAAAATGGCATGGAAATGGAGATATTATGTGACTGAAATATGTACCTGCAGTACAGTAATGCTTACTTAAAAAATAAACTGTTGGGTAACTTTTATTTGGATTGTCTTTATGTGCGTAAGTTGCTTTTTTATAGATTCTCCCACACAGACAGTTCAAAGACAAAATTTGTTCCTTCTGCTTCCTCCCCCAAATTTCCCCCACCCAGTGATTTTACACACTAACAATTTTATTTGGAATAAAGAGTTTGTTTAAAATATGCAAGAAAGTAACTCCTTTTGTTAAGTTTTTGAAGTTTAAATAATATGGAAGTATTGTGATCTGTATTGCAGTTTTTACCCTTTAATAGTCAGTCTAAGAGATGTAGTACTTCACCTTTTAGGCTGATTTTGAAGGAGCTTGTAATACTTGAAGTCTGGTTGTATTTCATATTCCTGACTAGGACTTTGAAGCAGTCAGAGAAGCAGCTTTGCCTCAGGTAGCATTCTGAGCCCTTGCCATACTTTTTGGTGTGGGACTCTTTAGTATCTAGATCTTAACTGAAAGAATTTAATCAAGTTCTTAAGTCCTGCTGACTGTTTTCCTGAATCAGGACAGTATGAATGGTCTTCGCATACTCAGACAACATGAGCAACTGACAAAGTCTGTAACTCTATAGCTCTCCTTCTGTTTTGCTGCTTGATTTAAGGGAACCTTAGAAGTCATGAGGGCTTCAACAATATGCCTTTTGTGGTTTTAGTAGCAAGAGATCTGATCTGAAAGTGTACATTTCCTTTCTGGTGATTACTGATGTAAGAGCTGCTTATGGATAGTCTTGTAAGTTTGGTTCTGTATTTATGTCCAGAACAGGATGAGCTGAATCATGTCAGAGATTTGCAGCAGCTCATCTTTGCAGAAATTAAATTAGGGAGGTATTTGTATCAGCTCTCAATATGAGCCTTGTATCAGGACCCTCTAAAGGGGTACGTTACCCTATTCACCAAAGACTTGACCATGACGGTGTGAAGACTGGAAAGGAGGTTAATACAATACTTCTTACTTTACCTAAGACAATATATCTGCGAAAGTGTTACTATTATAGGCAATAGAGTGACCAGAATGTAGAAACAAGATCCACACTACCATCAGAACACTTGCAATACCTTTTTGATATGGGTAGGTGTGGTTTGTTTTTTTAGAAGCATGGTGCTAGCCCTGCGACATGCAAGGGAGCTCTTGTGCATTGATTGATGACCATTGCCTGAAGTGCTAAAACATTTATTGTTTCACCTCAAATTTGAGATTGCCAGACAAAAAACATCTACAGAAGATTCAGGATGAACGCATAGGTTTTCTGCCTGCAGTTGGAGCCCTAGTGTGCAGATACTTACACAATTAAGAATTTAAAAGGAAAAGCAAGATTACCAGGTTTGAGAATCACCAGGATGTTAATCATTGTAGAAGTGCTGGGACTCGTGCTTAAAGTGAAGATGACAGAAGGGAGTACATGTGATGGTTAAAGCTTCATCTACCTGCTGTGGAATAAACTTTGAGTAGCCAGACCCCATACGTTATTGGGAACTCTTCCTAGCAGAATCAAAGCTATAAAAACACTGACAATCTTGCCATTGCCCATCTATTCTATCTTGGTCTTTAGGTGCTTCCTTATCTAAGGATGGTTGATTATATGTCTATCTTCCACTAATCACTGTGCCAACTGCTGCTTTCCTTCTCTCCCCAGAATGGCTGGGGCATCAGGGACCATCAGGTTCTAAGCGTTACTGTTCAGGAAAACTATTTGCTTGGTGTAAGAACTGCTTCAGACAACCTGTTACCCACTTGTGGAAGCCTGCCTTCTGGGAATCCATGTCCCCTTTGGATCACCCTGTAGTATGACCTAGTGATTAGTGAGAAATTCAGACTGTTTTCAAAGAGCCAGAGATTTTAGTTGCCCAAACCTTGCAAGGTTGATCACGACAGCTTCAGTTAAAGTCAAAGGTGCTTCACCTCTTCCCATAATAAGACTGCCCAAAGACCAGTGATTGATTTTAGGTTGCGAGATGTCCATTGTTTGGCAGTTACCACTTGTAATAAAAACGTACTGAGACTGTTAAACAGTGCCCGTGTAAGTGTGGCTTATGAAGACCACATAGCATCGCTTATGAAGCATGCATTCCTGTGCTAGGACAATTTTCTGGTTTGAGAAGAGCAGGAGAACTCTTGCAGGTGATCATGCAGTGGGCTAGCAGAATAGGAAGGCTTCTCCTGGTTCCTTTTCGAACCTGGGAGATGGGCTGTGATGAAATCAGGTAGTTCTGTCAGTTTTCTATGAGAAATGTTAATCTCAGTGTTCCTTTTGTTGAGGTCTGGTTTATGACTTTGTCCACATAAAAGTGTTCTTTGAAATGAACACACATGTTGCCAGAATTGTACAAAGGGAAGAAGGCAGAGAGAGATTTCAGAGGTCATGTTTCTGTTGAAGAAACTAGATTATTTTTGTTGTTGTTGTTGCTTTGCGCAACAGAAAGCACTAAGAAAGTCTGATAGGGGTAGAAGCAAAAGGCTAGATCTTAGTACTGACAAATCTGCCAACATTATTCAAAATGTTGCATTTTTTGTTAGATAATTGTTCTGTCTTCCTGCTGTACCTTTGAGTCTGAAGACCCACAGAGGAAATTGTGCTTCATGGACATGATGTAAGAAACAAGATCCACAAGCCAAAAGAGTTCCCTCTCCTTCTGGGTCATATTTGGAGCTCAATTATTTCTCTAAATCAAAAGAATTAATGAAGTTTACCCCATCTAAATTAGTTTTGAATACTTCCTCTAGTCCCTCTCAAAACTTGGCAATCAATCTTCAAAGAATATTCTCTCCTTTTGGACTCAGCTTCTTAAAGAAAGAGAAGTCTCATTAAAGAGGACTTTAAAATAGAAGGATCTTACAGCAATTACCCTTGAGCAGTAGCTGGCAGAAAAGTCTTTCCTGAAAAGTTTCCTGAATGAAAAATTTCACTCATTCCTTCTGGATATCTGCAAAGTGGCGAACATTTCTTGGTACAAAATTAGCACTCTTAATCGCAGTTTTTGAATATAAAATAATAAATAAAATATGTGGGTTTCCCCTCCTGCCTCTAATACAACTTTACATACATGAGTCTGTATAGGAAGTATTCTGGAGAAAAATGTGGAGTGTTAATTTTAGACCGAATTCCCTTCTTTCTCACTACAACCTTAGAAATGCTAGTTGGCTGTTTTTCTGTGGATTCACTTGTTAATCACAGGTTCTTACCTCACAATCCTGGGCAGGCTTCCCCTTCTCCCTCTTCCTGCTCTTCCCTATCCCAAGAGTTTCTGGATGCGAAGAATCACTAGCAGTTTGAGTTTGGTTGTGCATTATGGGCAGGTCCTTCCTTTCATGCCCAGTTGTGCTTGCTTTGGAGATTAAAACTTCCCTTCAAATAACAGGGGTTTTGTGGTGAAGACAGAAATTCAGCTGTATTAGCGGTAAGTCTATGTATAGTTCTTTGTACAGAAGTTGAAATGGGATTATCAAACTGAGTCTCAGCACTGCACTGTAAAAAAGAAAAAAAAAGTTTTTAAATGCAACAAATTGTCTTTTTCAAGCTGAGGTATCACATGTTTATTATCAGAAGATCTAGTTGCTAAAATCACAAAGGTGGGGAAATGAGAAGGTAGTGGGAAATAGCTGTTCTGCATTTAGTGGTACACGACTAAATAAAGACAAAACAAAGACAAAATAAAGGTTTATCCAGTCCAGGAAGATGTGATTGCCTAAGATTCATGTCTGGAAAACTGAGAGTAGTTGAGGCATGTGGTTGCAGTTGTACCACAGGTTACCTTCCCTTGATTTTTTTTGTCCTGTATGTAGAGTCATGCCATCTACAGTCATGGCAGGTCCTGTCCTTACTATTTCATGCCTTTTGACATTGAAATGGCTGAATCATTGTTAATTTTTTTTGAACAAAACTTTTATTTTGTTGGTTTCAGTCACTGATTGATCCTTTTTTCACTTCCTTTTTTCCCTTGTCTCTCTGTGCTTCGCTGGACATGGCCCATAGGGGAGTTCTCAGGTGTGTATCTCCTCTGCTCAGTTTCCTTTCTTGTTTCTTTTTTCCTTGTTGAGGTCGAATGACGTGGTATACACATGTGATACTCCCCTGCTCTTGTCCAAACACGGTTGGCTTTGCAGACTTCTCCTACCTTCACTTCGCTTGGTTGCCTTGCACCGGTGGGTCCCTGGGCAGCAGGACATCCCCGCTCTGTGTTCACACGCCTGCTGTGTTTCAATAAGCTTTTCTTGTGTGGCTTTCTGCAGGTTTGCTCCACTGTGTTATACTGGCCTGTCACTGAAGGTCTTGGGGCTCAAAGTGCTTTTTTTTTTTCTGTCGGGGTGGGTGCTGTGCTTGGAGCGGAGCTCGGGTGGGCACAGAACTGAATTGGGTTGCCACTGTCCTCTCAGCAAACCGTGCTGAGGAATCCCTCCATGTGCATGATGGCCACTGTGGGTTAGTTGATACATACTGGCCCTCTTGTGGAATAGCTGTAGTGATATATTAAAGACACTTTCTTGATGGATTAGAGTGGCAAACCCTCTGTCTTCCATGTAAGCTCTATCTTTTGTTTTGGTGAAGAAGACTCACTGCCTTAGGGTCACACTTGTCATCAGAAGGTTTGCACCTTCCCATAAAATGCACCTGGGACATAATGCAATTTCAAATGAAGTCAAGGGGTTCTCTTTTGATTTCACTGCAAATTTGATTAAGTTTTCCCTGTAGTAAAGGCAGGTAACTTAGGCAGATGTGATACTGTAATGCTGTGTGGTGATGAGCTCTGTCACTTTCCTTTGTCTGACACCTCTTGGTGTTGGCTCTGTGAGGTTGCAAATGAAAGGGATGAATGACATCATCCTTTCTTTTAGCTCAAACTGTTTTCACTGTAAACCACTGCTTCATTGTCCTTTCTGAGAAAACCTCCTGCTGAAGCTGAGTGGGAGTTTGTCAGAGTATGGAGGTGGATTTTGGCCTGTACAAAAAGGCCAGGTGAGAGCTTTGATATCCACTCCCCCTTTTGTTTTACTCCTGCCCCTGTCCCTCACCTTGTTCATAATGTCTGTTGAACTACCTTTGTTGTGGGCATAGGAAACCCAAAGATGTGTAGTCCAGGGGAAATTATGAAGATGGAAGAAACAGATGAGCTCATCTCAAGCTTGTCCTGACATCTCAGTTGTAAATCCCTGTTAGGCCAGGCTGTAGCAGAACAAGAAGTAGATAAGTTACTGCTGAGCATTACATATACTAGCACCACACACAGATGTACACATGCTGATGAGCTGCTCTGTTTGCTATTTACAGACTGGTACTTAATGGCTGCTTTTTTCTCTTCCTTTCTTTCCCTTTGTCCCCATCTCTCTCTATTCCCTTTCTCGTATGGGATGGCTCTCATAGTACGGGATGATTTCTTTGGTAAGGCGAAGGCCTTTTTTCTTTTTTTTTTTTCTTTTTTTTTTAATGTGCATTTTTTTTTTCTAAATTTCTTTCATTCACTCAACATCCCTCCATATGTCTTGCATTACCTTGGTTTGTTTTTTTTGTGATGGTGGTATCACCTCTCCAAGAAGCAGGACGCAGCTGGTCAGTAGTGGTGGTTTGGGGATTCTGCTCTGTTTCTGGTAGCTGATTATCCACTTTGATGCTTCACACTATTTGCCTGGCTATGGGAGGTGACAGTGTAGGATGGGCTCTGTTAGAGAGGGTGCTGTCCAGACCTCTCTTCCCTTTTCTCCACACCAGGAAGGGGTGAAGAGATCTTTTAGTCACTCCACAGTGTTGTGGGTTTTTTTGGTGGGTTTTTTTTTTGTTTTTTTTCCCCATGAGCAGGGCTTTCGCATTACAGTCTGCATAAGGTTAGCTCACACTGTCCATTCTGTGGCTCTGGGATGCTTCATCCATTTCTTTATTGCAAGGCTAGCCCCTCCGACCTCTCCCTGACTGAAGCATTGGGCTGTCACCTTGTCACACAAAATAAGGTGGAAGCTGTGGTGAGGATTACTGATGGTTGGGATGCTGTATGGCTTTTAGTTCTGGCATGATACCTCACCCTCTTCACCAGAGTTTCTTTCTCTCCCTAAAACGGCTGCAGAGAGGGATAGATGGCTCAAGAATGAGAAGGAAAAAGGTTTAGTCTAAAAACTCAGGATGAACTCTTCCCCTTGTTGTCCATTAGCACCTGTAACATCCTTGTGCCATTTTAATTAATGTCTTAATGGCTAAATATTTGATAATTTGTAGAATCACTAAAAAGGAACAAAAAAATTAATTTAATAAACAGATGACTTCTTGGTCTTCCAGTCAACATAGGGCATGCCACAGAAGAAGGGGCTGTAGGTCATTCACCTTACCAAAGCAAAAATACACTACACTGCAGTTAGCATCTCTCACTTTTTTGCTGTTTGCAGTATTCTTTGACACAGCAGCACATTGCCTGAAACATCAAAGTGATTAATTATCTTTCCACTAATTTTTCAAAAGTTATTTGAAAATGCTGCTTCTTACTCATTCTTGCTGGGAATTTGCTTTTGCCATCATAAATTCATCCCATTTAACTGTGGGAAGAGGATCGATATGTTGAAGTGTTGTGATGTGTTCTCACTTCTTGTATGCTACCATGTTTCTCTAACTTCCATTTATTTCAAGTTTGTGTTGTTTTTGTTTTTTTATAAATATTAATTAATCAGCAAATAACGGATCATGAAAACTTGATGTCTTTGCTGTAAAGGAAGAGGTAGTTCAGAGGCAGGACAAGGAGTACTTCAGCACAAACACTGATGGTTGTGAGACTTCTTCATGCTCTGAGACCTGTGGTGAGAAATGAGCTGCAGCCCTCAGCACTGTTCCCTGACAGGGAGAGGCCTCTTTGCCTTTAGTTCTCAGGTGGCCTCTGTTCCCCACTGTAAGACCGAAGCTGACCCTGGGAGTCAGCAAACAATCCAGGTGTGCTTTTGGTCCCTAAATTCCTTTTCATTTGGTTTTATGAAATACTGAATTCGACCTTCACTCTTAGCCCCAGATTTTTCAAAGTGCTTGTGACCCAGTCTGCATATTGCAGTCATTGTACGTTGATGCCCAAGTGCAAGTGCAGTGTGTCTGATGTAGGTGTTTTCTTGAGTGTGAGTCTTAAGTGATGGGACTGAGACTTCAGATTTTAAACATCTGTGAGGAAACTGTAAAGGTAGATAGAGATATGGACAATGTAAAGTCCTTTTAAAATTGCTCTAGTAGAATGCTGATAATGGGAACTGAACTGGTCACAACCATGGTCCCCAAACTGTATTGAGAAACAGAAAATTTGGCTTATACTAAGAAAGAAAGAAAATCATTGATGTGCAGATCTGGTCAGCAGTTTGGACAGTGTTCTACTGTCCTCTCTGAAAAACCCATGAGCTTCTACCTTCTTTCTGTATGAGTGATGGTAAAAAATGATTGCAGTAGCTCATGACTGAACCAGGAGTTACTGTCTTGACTTCCCCTAATTGGCATTAGTGATGCTTTCCTCTCTGTTCCTATCAAGGGAATCTGTGAAAGTTGGGGTAAGAAGCTAGGTCTGCATTTGGGCTCTTTACAGGACACGTGGTTGTCTGCTTGTGCTGCATGGTCTTTCAGCAAGAGGTACTCCACTCTACAGCAGAACACAGAAGCCTAGGGAAGCCTAACAAAAGTGATTTCTTTTCCTCAAGCGTGAGTCAGGCAGTGCCACACAAGCTTCAGATTCCTAGGAGAGCAGGTGAAAACTGCGTGGCTTTTCTTTTCAGGAATGGGCAAAGAAGTGGGGAATCTGCTGTTGGAGAACTCACAGCTACTGGAGACCAAGTAAGGAACTGTTGTGTGCTCTGAACTGCCTGCCTACTTAGAAATGAGAGGCTGTCTTGAAGTAGGTCTTGGCCAGAACTCCTGCCTCACAGGGGCTTGCTTACTTATCTAATAGGGTTTCTTAAATGTTGTTTCTTCAGTTCTAGAAGAGGAATTGCTCTTTTGAGCAACTTTCCTAACTGTTTACGTTCTGCAGGCACTTGGGTGAAGTCCCTGGGCATGTGTTCATAGGGTCTGATGCAAAAGCTTTTAATTAACTTCAGTGGGAATCTAGATGTGGGTCTGAGCCTTTGTAAGGATATTGCTGTTTATAAGTTTTTATTTGCAAGGTTTGCTATTTGAAAATAAAATTTTCTTTCAGTAGTTGATAAATGAGAAGCAGACAATGTAACGGACTTACTTTTTGAAAAGGGCTGGCAAACCAGATACTAAAGCTAAGCAGCCAGGAAGAGGAAGGCAAAGTACTCCCAGGGGAGAGTTGGAGAACTTACTGTGATAGGAATCTGATGATTTTTAAGATTTTAAGATACTTCAGAGCTTATTGGAAATGCTTATTTATATCACCATCATCCATAGTTATGCACGATTGCAAATAACAGTAGTTTTGAAAGGTGTGTTTCAGATCTTCATTTTGTTAATCATAGATTTGAACCTGTGTTCAAGTGATAGGTTACCCTACGCCTGCTTTCTGCAGTATTCTGCCATCTTCTTAAGGAGATGTTGGTCTGTGAGTCAGGATCCAGGACTGGACAAACTTCACCTTGATCAATTATGGTGATTTCTATGTTCTTCAGCAGCAACTTCTTGCCAAAATCAAATTTTCCATGAGTTATAGCTGGACTGAATTGTTTAAACATACTTGTTTCAACTCTCCTTGTAGTGCCTGTGACTTTAGTTTCAGGTCTCTCTTATGGACAGCTGCTGGTTTTGGGCATTTTTGCTTATTGTCCCTTTCACACCTTTAAGAAATGCTTTGAACGTTGTGAAGAATGATTTGATTGCCAAGGTGGACCAGCTATCTGGAGAGCAAGAAGTGCTGAAGGGAGAGCTTGAAGCAACAAAGCAGGCCAAAGCCAAAATGGAAACCAGAGTCAAGGAGCTGGAGGAGGAGCTGAAAAGGTGAGTGATTCATACCCTGTCCCAGGCAGCTGGGAGGGCACAAGTGATAAACCCACCTCATCTGTTAGTTTTACTTTTTCCCTCATGGAGGTTGGCATTGGAATTCAGAGGTACATTATAGAGTACTTCAAGACTGATGGTAGCTGGCTGAGATATTTTTAGTGTTACATTATTTTTATTGGATTGAAATGGATTATTGAACCTTAGAAAACCTGCAGGATTTTCTTCCCCAGGACTGGGATTCTGCAGCAGCAACTGAAAATCCAGGTTCCCTGAAGTGAAGCATTCAGAGTTTCAATTTGCAATTTAAAAAAAAAACAGAAAAGGGAATTTCAAAACCAATAGTTTTGAAGGAAACTCTCAAGAGCTTGATCCTTGCAGCAGCCAAGACAGCACTGAGAGGAATGAATGCCCATTCATTTAATGAAAGAGCTAATACAGATTCCCACAAACAATATTTAAATGGCAGTATTGTTAATTGTTTCGTTGTTCATATTAAGAATGAGAAGAAGAGGCAGAAGAGATTCTAAAGTCCTATAAGGGTAACATTTGTAGAGATCCCACTTCCTATTTGCCACTCAAACTATGGAAATTGAAGCCTGAATGCCTAGCAAAGCCTGTGATGATTTCACGTCCATAAAACTAAAGATCCCATGGGACACTAAGCAATATAATTACATTTTGACTAGCTGTACATTGCACTGTGGTATCTCAATTCAGAGGATAGTGTTTATTTGCAGCTGGCATCTGGAAAGTTGCCTCTGTAATCTGAGCACAGAATCACCAAGAATAATGCAGACAGGTCTCTTCATTGTTCAAAATGTCTGAAGTGAAAGTAGTCTCCTAAGCAGGGGAAATAGGTCTGATTTTTTTAAAATGTCTTGTGAGTCTCATAATATACATAATATATATAATATAATGTATAAAATATAAAAAATATAAAGAATATATATATAAAATATGTATTGTGCAGTAGAGACATGGACTTTTAACTGTCAAGCGTGCCTTTTTAGGAGATGGTGGAGACAGCATTTTTTTTCCCACAGTGTCTTTGCTGTTAATAAAAGTGCTTGTAATTCAAAAAAGACTGCATGACTGCACCTCAGTATGGAGTTTAAAGAAATTAAAAGCACTCATTTAAATAATTCTAAGTTTTTTATTAACATGAATTTGGTGTTCTCTTTTTTACCATTATGGCAAACTGTTTCATATTAGAAGCTTTTTTCTCTGCAGTGAAAACAGAAGCAGCCCAGAAGAACAACTTTAAGCCAGTGTTTTCACTGCTGATAGTGGCTCAGTTTTCCCATGGTTAAGATCTCATCAGACATTTGAACACAGATTATGGCTTTGAAAGAGAAGTGGGCTGGACTGTTGCAGTGGTCAGTATTCTGGTGCTTACATCAAATGTTCCAAAGAAATGGGGTGATGTCAGTGAAGCTGTACAGCGTAACATGCTGCAAGTGAGAGGGAAAAATACCAGAGAAGCATATCATAATTTGCTGACAGTTTGAAAATGTTTCCTTATGATGCATGCAGACAGACCTTCCCATAGATGGTTCTCCTCTCAGAACACCTCAGGGCCAGCCATGGTATCATTTGCTGGTTTGATGCCTTTCTTCCTGTTTCCTAGAGTGAAATCTGAAGCGATTGTTGCCCGACGAGAACCCAAAGAGGAGGTGGAGGATGTAAGCAGCTATCTCTGTACAGAATTGGTATATTACATTACTAAAATGCCTGCGGGGAAAGGGGGTTTATATACTTGCTCTATATTACTTCATATATATGAGCCCTGAGATGCAGATTGGTCTGCCTTTGTTAATGATTAGGGCAATGCTGATAAACTACAGGTTGCTGTGGGTGAGCATTGCTAATAGATGCTGTGAGAGTACTTCTTCATGTGACTTTTGAACCATAGGTGGACAAAGATCAGCAGCTGACACAGTGACAGTACTGTGCACGATGTGGTTTCTGCAGAACAGTGCTAGAGCAGTGCCCTGCTCTGAACCTTCCCATTTTATCTGGTTCTCCCTAATTTTGAATTAAAGCAACAAAGGTGCAGTGTGGTTTTGCTCAGGGTCTTGTGATAGTCAGGTTTCTCCAGAAGAGTTTTTCTCCACATTTGCAGGGAAGCTGTAAGCCAGGAGAACATTGTGCAGTGAAATCAGGGTTATACTGACAGCTTTGCAGCAGTAACTGACTTCTTTTACTAGTTCTGTAATCTCAGTCTTGCACCATTGCTTTTCTCATTATTCTGTTACATAAGCCAGTACTGCCTGTTACAGGGTACAGGCAGAGAAGGCTCATGGACTTCAGAGTGTTTTGGCTGAGGTAGAAGCTTTTCAACAAAGACCAGCTGTAACCAAAAAAAAAGAAAAGGCAAACCAAAGTGCTAACAGGGATTTTCCTTGTGAACGTCATACTGCTAGGACAGAGAATTAGATACGCTTCTTTTCAATGTTACTGTGTTCTTACTTTTTGAAAGCTACTGGAGCAGGTTCAATTCTAGCCTAGTTTTCTTGACTTAACTGGGGTGAACTTGGTCTGTTGAGAATTTAGGTAGATTGGAAGATTTTCAAGTTGTGCTTGTGAAATGCTGAAGAGGGCTGGATTTCTATTAAGCTGAACTGACAGGAGGTCTGGTTTCTGAAACTTAAGGAAGTTCCTTTTCGCTTATACATGTCTTGTTTTGACTGGTCATACAGCTTTATTCCAAGTTCAGAGAGACTGGAGAGGGATTTGGTAAATTTGTGCTATTCCAGCTCTCAGCAGTGCTCACCAGCCAGGCTGAGTTTGGGAATTGCCACAGTCTAGGCAAAACCCAGTGCCACTTCCTAGTAATGAGTTCCCCAAATCCTTGTGATTTCTTTTTGGGCAGATATTTTCCCCAATTTAGCCATGTTCCCAATTTCCACTCCTCAAAAGAGACAAACAGAATCTTAATCCTACTGCCTCCTAACCCAAAGCTGTGTGTGCCCTCATGGGAAGGCCAAATTGTGTCACCGAAGAGGAAAAGGCCTGCCTTTCATTTCTTGTGCCCCACACCTTCATCAGTGTGTACTAACAGAATACTCCTTCCTAGTCCTCTTGAGGAGATGGATGGCATTACATGGTGTTCCCTGCTGCTTGTGACTGGCTTTGCTAATGAACTAAAATTCTTTTGTCCAAACTTCTGGATCAACGGACCACTGGCAGGTCTCATAATTCCTTGCAGACTACCAAAGCACCTTGCTGGCAATAGTGACTGGGTGGGGTTTTCAGTTTGGTTGTGGTAGAGGCAATTGGTGGTGGTTCTAATTCTAATTTCTATGGGTTTGCACAACACCCCAGAGGTCCGTGGGCCATAGTTTGGACCTCACTTGTCTAGGATTAGCACCTGATATGAGGAAATCAAGGGGTAATTAAATATAACAGGAGGAGAACTAACAAATATGTCTTTTCTGTCTCCTGACTCACCCTGTACTAACATCAATCCCCTTCCATCTTTTGTTGGCTGAAGCAGTGCTCCTCCCCCCTGCAGGACAACATTCCTATAGCTCAGCGCCGCCGCTTCACCCGTGTGGAAATGGCCCGGGTTCTGATGGAGCGGAATCAGTACAAAGAGAGGTTGATGGAGCTCCAGGAGGCTGTCAGGTGGACAGAGATGATCAGGTGAGACTGCGTGTTGGTGAACATTCCTATTTAGGACAGAACCTGGCCATGTTTGACCTTTTAATTCTTCCTCTCTTATTCCTGAACCTGTACTACAAATATCGTGTTGCCATTCTTATTTGGAGACACTGGACACTTGTTTGTTTAGCTTGTTTCTTGTGTGCTCATTAAGCTAGGAGAAGCTTTAGGGAAGAGGTTTGCTTCTAATTAATGAATTCTAAAGGCTGGGGCTGTAAGTGAATATAATGCTGGGGTGTGTAGTTACCAAACTGTGGCAATGATCATGTTGCAGGGAGTTGATAAAACTTCTATGTAACACACTTATTTGCACTTCATGTCAACATTGAGAGGTTGGGTGTGCTTATATTGAAGACCAGTGCCTGTCACTTCCTCTGTTGTGCTTTTGAGACATGTTAGAATGAATTCTGAATTTTGACATCGCTTCCTTGGTGGAAATGGCTTGCTGATTGACAGAAACTTGGGTAAGAGATGCTGAAATAAATTTGCTTCTGATCTGCTTGTCCTCAGAGCTTCCCGTGAGCACCCATCCGTTCAGGAGAAGAAGAAATCCACCATCTGGCAGTTGTAAGTTCTTCAGTGGTTTGTGTAGGATTAAGAAAAGGGGAAGTGTTGCCATTTCTACTTTAGACAGCAACTTAATAGACTCTGACATTAATGAAAAGTCAACTGAAGTGTTATTAGCTGAACCCTTCTGCCTTCAAGGGTTTCTGTTGTCCTTGGTGAAATTAAACTGAGATCTGAACATCTGCATTGTTTTGTTTTTCAAGATGAAAAAGATCATGAATATCCTGGAATGGAGACATACATACACTCAACAATCTGTTTTAATAAAGGGCTGTTTTCAGAAGGTATCTGTTTCTGGAAGCTAAAAACACCTTATGTCAATCAAACCGAGGACTTAGCTCTGTGTTTGAAGTAGGACAGTTTTCGTCAAGGGCTTGCAGCCCTTGATTGCATACCTCTTGCTTCCCGTGTTGTGAATCTGTGTGTTGTCTCCCCAGGCACCTTTTTTCTTATTTGTTGGCCTTTTTCTGTCCCTAGCTTCAGCCGTCTGTTCAGCTCTTCTTCAAGCCCCCCACCAGCAAAGAGGACCTACCCATCTGTGAACATCCACTACAAGTCTCCAACAACAGCAGGGTTCAGCCAGCGTCGCAGTCACACCATGTGCCAGATCTCCTCCAGCAGCCGTACCCTGGAGTTCTTCCCTGAAGAGTGAGTTGTGCGCTGTGTGCCAAGCCAGGTCCCCCTGCAGCTCTCCCAAATAGCAGCTTTTCTTAAAACAAGCTCTTCTCTGCTTTAAAAAAAACATCTGTGTGGTGTGAATATGTTTCTGTCTCTTGTGGTTTATCTCCCTGATCTTTTACTCATCAGTTATCACGTGGATGGGCTTAGCAGACTTTGTCCTCCCAAAGATACTGCTGCCATGGCTTTCTAGGCCATGATGGTTCATCTCAGCAGGGACCACTGTAGACTTGAGTTGGCCTCAACCCTAGTTCTGCATTCACGTTTGCAGACCGCGTGATAGAATGAGGCAGGGCTTTTGTGGTAGAGTGATGGCAGCAGTGGGGAAGGAGGATGGATTTTCTTGCCCAACCCTGTTGGTGAGTTTGTGTAGACAAGAGTTCTCTCAGCAGTACATTAGGTTACAATATTTGGTTATAATCTTAACTGTGTGTGGCTACTGAAGAGTCTTCTCCCTATTCTTTATGTCTCTGACATGAGGGAGAAAACTCTTCTGTGTTTTACTTGACTTCAGAATTCATTCTGCCATTACAATGTTGTGCAGTTTCATATGTGGGAAGTTTCTGTGGAAAGACTTTGGAGAATGTGATGGTAAAGTATTATAACTTCTGCAATAAGAAGGATTGTCAGAAACACACTAGATCAGCAGAAGAGAGAATGTCTTCAGAAGGGTAAATTTATATTTTATAGATACCCACTGCCTTTATTCTGTTTTTTTTTTTTTAAACTGATTACAATATCCTAGTCATTTTGTGGTGTCTGAGTGTGTTTCAGCAGTGCATTAAACAGTGTGACTAACTGCTGTCAGAAGCTGTTTGTTCTCTCATCCTCTTCACATGGGACGAAGCATGTGCAGGGAAGTATTTTGTTTTAACAGGGGTTGTTTTTGTTCGTAAGTGTATGTCCTAGTGTGTGTGTTGTGTGTAGGGGTTTTTGTTTTGGATTGGATTTTTTTGCTGATGTTGTTTGTACCTTGGAATGATACTTTAAAAACCTATTTAGAACTGGAAGTGATATTCAAACAGCCTTTGTTTATATTAAAACATATCTTAAGAGCTCACAGATCAGTTTTCCTTTTAACCTTCGCCAGTGCAAAGCTGAAGTTTTTCTGTTGAAACCAGCAGTTGCAACAGCAGTTAGTGCATATTTTTCTTGTCAGCAGAGAAAGCTTTAAAATGGACAGAAAAATAAATAGTTGACTATAATTATAGAATCATACAATGATTTCAGTTGGAATGGATGTTAAAGACCATCTAGTTCCAACCCCCCTGCTGTGGGCAGGGTCACCTTCCACCAGCCCAGGTTGCCCAAAGCCCCGTCCAACCTGGCCTTGAACCCTTCCAGGGAAGGGGCAGCCACAGCTTCTCTGGGCAACCTGTGCCAGGGCCTCACCACCCTCGCAGGGAAGAATTTCTTCCTAGTATCTAATCTAAATCTACCCTCTGCCAGTTTAAAACTGTTACCCCTCATCCTGTCACTACACCCCCTGATGACGAGTCCCTCCCCCCATTCCTGTAGCCCCTTTCAGCCCTGGGAGGCCGCTCTAAGGTCTCCCCGGAGCCTTCTCTTCTCCAGCTGAACCCCCCAACTCTCACAGCCTGTCCTCACAGGGGGGTGCTCCAGCCACCTGAGCATCTTTGTGGGCTCCTCTCGAGCAGGTCCGTGTCCTTCTGATGTTGGTGCCCCCAGAGCTGGACCCAGCACTGCAGGGGGGATCTCAGGAGCGTGGAGCAGAGGGGGAGAATCCCCTCCCTTGCCCTGCTGCCCACACTGCTCTGGGTGCAGCCCAGCACACGGTTGGCTTTCTGGGCTGTGAGCGCACGTTGCTGGCTCATTTCCATCCACTAACACCCCCAAGTCCTTCTCCTTGGGGCTGCTCTCCATCCACTCCTCACCCAGCCTGGATTTGTGCTTGGGATTGCCCTGACCCGTGGGCAGAACCTTGCCCTTGGCCTTGTTGAACCTAATGAGGTTTGCATGTCCGGCCTGTCCAGGTCCCTCTGGATGGCACATCCCTTCCCTCCAGCGTGTCCCTGCACCACAGCTCGGTGTTGTCAGTGAATTTGCTGAGGTGCCTCGATACCACTGTCCATGTTGCCAGCAAAGATATTAAATCCCCGGTCCCAACACCCACCCCTGAGTAATGCTACATGTCACCCCCCTCCACTTGGACATTGAACCGCTGACCACAACTTTTTGAGTGCGACCACCCAGCCAATCCCTTACCCACCGAGTGGTCCATCCATCACATCCATGTCTCTCCAGTTTAGAGACAAGGATGTCGTGTGGGACAATGTCAAATGCTTTGCACAAGCCCAGGTAGATGATGCCAGTTGCTCCTCCCTTATCCACCAGCACTGTAACCCTGTTGTAGAAGGCCACCAAATTTGTTGGGCATGATTTGCCCTTAGTGAAGCCATGTTGGATATCACCAATCACGTCCCTATTTTCCGTGTGCCCTAGCAGAGTTTCCAGGAGGATCAGCTTCATGATCTTGCCAGGCACAGAGGTGGGACTGGCCTGTAGTTCCCTGGGTCTTCCTTTTTAACCTGTTTAAAAATGGGTATTATGCTATCCCTTTTCCAGTCAGTGGTAACTTCAATGGACTGCCACAATTTCTCAAATATGATGGATAGTGGCTTAGACACTTCATCTGCCAATTCCTTTGGGACCCACAGATGGATCTCATCAGGTGCCATGGACTTGTGCACTTTTAGGTTCCTTAGATGATCTTGAACCTGATACTCTCCTATGGTGGGTGGTTAATGAAGAGGGAAAGAACTCAAAATGTTTTCCTGATGGAGACCATAGATCAGTAAATTGTAACAGCTAAGGAAAAATTGGTATAATCTCAGTAGATTCATAGGTTTTATGGAAAGTTGATTCCCTGTTTCTGAAGGGCTCTAGGAGCATTGAAGTGGAAATCACAATGATTTGGCCTGCCACATCGTTCAGGTAACTGCAAGTTGGAGATGAGGGAAGCCTGTGTCTGCTTCTTAACAGAGTTTTTCAGTCTCTGATTTCCTGCATCTGTTCTCCAAGATGGATTTGGTGTGCTCTGTGTTTTCTCCCCCTGTTATGGTGACACTTCTTTAATCTTCAGCTTTTGTTTTTAACCATAGTTTGAGAAGTAACACTGTTGCTTCTCTCCTCAGTGACTGTACATCCTCGGCACGTCGCGAACAGAAGCGGGAACAGTACCGCCAGGTCCGGGAGCACGTGCGGAACGATGACGGGCGATTACAGGCCTGTGGCTGGAGCCTCCCTGCCAAGTACAAGCAGGTAGGGACCACTCACTGGACAGGCTGAAGGGACATCATCCCTCACAGTGAAACCAGTGAAGACCTAACTTCCACTAGTACCCTTAGCCTTAGTCCTTAAGTATTGTGTTTAGAGGTATCATATGCATGTTTTATTTCTATGATAGTTGTAGACACAGGTCAAATTCATGTTTTCTGTATCTACTGAAGTCAATGGAGGAGACATTCCTCTGCACGAAGGTGCTGAAAGAACCTACTCTAAACCAAAAATAATTAAACTTCTTTGTCTAGAGCCCAGTACTTTATTTTCTTTGTTATTATAATTGGGCTTGAACATCACATATTTAATTTATACTCTGAGAAGTTTACCAGCTGTTCAGTATAAAAATCAAATGCACTGCACTTTGCTCCCACTTCTCCTCAGCAATAATACAAAACCAAATGTCATCAGCCTCACTTGTTGGCCTATGACTCATTTAACTGGTCAGAGACCAGAAAGAAAGGAGTCTTGCAGTGTGGCTTGGAAGTGGGTGAATTTCAGGCCATGCTGAAAGGGAATGCCAGTGTTATAACTTATTTGCAGGGAGCACCTGTTAACAACCCTTTCTCCATCAGCAGTGCAGCATATAGCCTCTGGTGACCATAGCTGGGGCACCGTATCATGGTGAGAGGCAGTCTCTTGGGCAGGCTGCTTCCATCCCTGTAGGGACTCTGTTTCATACAAGATGTGAGATGGAAGCCTCAGCAGCACCTATCTCTGAGGCTAGTAAATTTGGTTCTGCCGCACTGGGTATATCTCTCTTACCATAGCCTGGTGTTTACAGCTTTGTACTGTCTTTTTTCATCTTCTCTTCCTCCACAGCTGAGTCCCAATGGTGGTCAGGAAGACACTCGCATGAAAAACGTCCCTGTGCCTGTATACTGCCGCCCACTAGTAGAGAAGGACCCAACCATGAAGGTACATTGTCTCTGCATACCATTCCAGTCCAGGAAGGGGACATGGAATAAGCAAAGAATTTGGCTGCTACATGTGCAATTTTTACAACAGTCTGTATTTTTCTGTACATTCTATATTCCAAGTTCTATTTTCTGCTTCCTTTGTTTTTGACTGGTGGTTTCTAGTGTACATAGGGAAAAGTACCTCTCTCTTATGAGGACAGAATTCTCAGCTGATTCTGGTTGCCAGGTCCCATGCTTCTGTCTTACATCTTACGCTTTTTTGAGACAACTCTTATATAAAATCCGCAAGATTTTATGCTTATAAGGCTTTTGCTAAGACCCCTTAGGGTATAATATAGAACAGTATAAAAATACACGAAAATGAGCAGGTGAAGGGTAAAAATGCATTTTGTCACTCTTCTTTTAGATTCTATCGTTGACCAGGATTCACTGGTAACAGGACAATATTATGTAGAGCAGATTTTTGTGAAGCTTTGTCTATCAATACTAGAATACTAAAAACTTGAGTAGAATTATGATTGAGAATAAACAGTCGTCTCTCTGCAGGTAGCACGTTTATCTGCTCTAACTGATTGTTTTGAAATAGGCAGTTTGTCATTAACTTCATTCAGAGCTGATTTTAGATGTCATTCTGATGTTTAAGTTGTAAGAAAATTCATATGCGTTTAGTTGTTTCTAGATGATTGGCATGATCTTTGGATAATATTCTGCTCAGAATCTTTCTTTTATGATTTTGGATAAATCCAGTATTTGTTTCTGTAGGCCTGTTCCCAGCATTCTCCTAAAAAACTGTCTAGAAATAGCTCATAGAAGGTTAGCTAAATTTGATTTCAGAAAATATGCAGTGTGCTTCTTTCACTCTATGCTTGTTACATAGGGAGATAAATGAGCATATTTTTTTCCCTTTTACTTTTTTCTTTTTTTTCTTCATTTTTTGCCATCTTAATTCTTTAAATAGCTCTCTAAGATCAGACAAACACTTGATTTTTGGGAAAAGGACTGTATGAGGAAGCTGAAGAGTGCAAGGTGTGGGAGGGGGGCTAGGGGAGTGCACTGAATGTGTATCCACAGTCAAGCAGTCACTGTCAGTTTTAGTTAAGCAGTCATGCTTATTGTACCCCGAGCTAGTAACATCTGCCATGTTCTGCTTCCTTTGCTACAATGACTTGGGAACCCCAGAGTCAGAAACTGAGGATATTTCAGGAGCCTATTATCAGTTATGCAGCTGATTTATTATCTTTATTTTCTTTAAATCATTTAGTCACATATGTTAAAAAACCAGTGATGTTTCTAGGTTACAGAGAACGTTTATCTTACCTCCATCAAATCTGACTGTGTCTTCTAGTAGAAGTCAACAAGGTATTTTGTTTCCAACTATATATTTTAGGTGTTTGACACAAGTTCACAGTTCTCTACAAAGGTGTCTGAATTTAAAGAGACCCTGGAGCCTCCAGAATTTTAAGTTTAAGCTTCCTCCCTTTGTTACTTAGCTGTGGTGTGCAGCTGGAGTCAATCTCACGGGATGGAGACCATTGGAGCAGGAGCCTGGGAATGGGCAGAAATTGGATCCTGGACGTGATCCCCTCACCTGTGATAGGGAAGTGGAAGGCGAGAACAACAAAAGTAACCATACATCTCCTGAAAAGAAAAAGGTCAGAAAAGAAAACGGATTTTTTTTTCCCCCTCCAGTGTGTTTTCTCATTCCACCCCTGACATGCCCCCTCTCTCAATACCTTTGTATAATTATATACTTGTACTTCTGAGGTGTCGTCTTGGGCAGGGTTGTGGTGTTCTGGCTCTTCAGTAACTTCCTGTGTGATTTGGGATAAATAATCCAGGATAAAATTTTCCAACTTCTACTTTTGAAACATTTGGAATTTTGAAAAAATCTCTAATAGTAAGGGTAATTAAGCATTTGATGAGGTTGCTAGGAAGATTTTGGAGCCCTCATCACTGTAAAGTAAAAAAAAGGTAAATAAACTCAGGCAAAGCTTTGTTAAAAAGAACATAGATGTAGTGGAGTCCGTGAGTCCATTTTTTTCAGAAGTTGAAGCTCTTGAGATTTATTCCAGCTCCGTTTTATAAGTCTTAAGTGGTGGGGTTTTTTAAGAACCAAGCTGTAATTTGTAGATAATAATATAATGTGTTATCCTTTCTGGTTTGTGGGTTTTTTTTTCCCCCACAGCTATCTTATGCTGCTGCCCTGTAGTCTTCTGAGATCAGCTTGCTTAAGTAGCTTGAGTGCAGCCCAGCTCTGTGGTATTCTGTCTGAAGTGAATGTTTGGTGATACACTAGTCAGACATCTCAGAATAGAAATTAATGGCCAAACTCCTCTTGCCCTAAGAAGCCAGACAGGTTCTTTGGACAATGTTCTAGATACTACTGAAGCAATGTGAATGAAATTTGCATAGCTGATATTGTTTATTTGCATCAGCTAGGAAGAGACCTGGCTCTTTGAAGCTGGCATTGTGGTGTTTGCATGTGTAAATGTTGCCAAGCACGAATATGCTCAATCTGATCTGCGAGCGGCACTGATTCTGCCTGTGTGTTTTCTTTCCTGAAGGCAAAAGAGCTCCATGAAATGGATGCCACGTCCAGTCGTGTGTGGATCCTCACTAGTACGCTGTCAACAAGTAAAGTTGTAATTATTGATGCCAATCAGCCCGGCACAGTTGTGGACCAGTTCACTGTCTGCAATGCTCATGTGCTTTGCATCTCCAGCATCCCTGGTAAGTGGGGCCCAGGCACTGGCTCTGATCTGCACAGGGTCACCTGCTCCACTGAGGAGTGACAAATGTAGTGTCCTCACTTCAGAACTAACTCTTGGACCCTGCTGCATTCTGTAATTGTCCCTCCAAACCATAATTCAGATCTTGCCTCCTTGTAGGACCTTTCCATGAAGATCCCTCACTGTTGAATATTTTGTAAGTCGTTCCCTTTGTCATGTAAAGGATGGTTCTTGGGAGGAAGAGTTGAGTTTTGCCCAGGTTTGGGAGGGCTCTGTAGCTGGCCTAGGTGTTGATGCTAGGGATGAGGGGATTTGCCATAATGCGGACTGATGCTGTGGTGCCTCCCCAGGGCAGTGAACCTTGAGGGTCAGCATCTTCCATTCATGTGGTCATCTCAGTACTGCTACATTTAAATGAGCAATGACAGCTAGATTTATGGGAGAATCTGTTCTTTGCCCTTCAGCGGCCAGTGAGAGTGATTATCCTCCAGGCGAGATCTTTCTGGAGGGAGATGTAAATCCTGAAGAGTCTTCTGGAACAGATGGTGTCTTGGCAGGAATCACTCTGGTAGGCTGTGCAACCCGCTGCAATGTGCCACGAAGCAACTGTTCCTCGCGTGGTGACACACCTGTGCTGGACAAGGGACAGAGTGAGTTTTGGGGTGGAAAACTTAATGGCAGTCCAATTATAGCCAGTCCCATATGAGCTTACAGTTTTACACCTGCATCCTCCTGTTCCTGAGTTAACTACTTCAGAGGTCTCAAGAAGATTCTTAATGTGGTACAAGGAAGACCAAAGGCCCTTTTGGTACATTTCTCTTTAGAGCCCTCCTTTTTTCTATGAGTGATCCCCAGCCTGCAGCCTGGTTGCAGGGACCATGTAACAGAGTAGTTTGGACAGATGATGTCTGCCCTGCTATAATTGCTTCTGTTCTCATTGCTTGCTTCTCTGAACCATGTCTTCCTGTGAAGTCAGTTAAGCCCATATGAAAACTGTAATGATGCCCTTGCTGACTCCATACTGCAGTGGGCAGCCCTGGAGAGCTTCTCAAGTTTTGTTAGTCACAGATTTTGCCTCACTTTAAAATCATCTCTGTTCCCCATCCAAGCAGAAAAAAACACTGGATGATCTGCTGCCTGTGGTGCAGGCTCAGGGCTTGATGAATTTGTCAAGGAAGGATAAATTAAATAACTGACAGCCTGTTTTCTCTATAGCTAATTTACCAGCTCATTATCCAGTATGTCTTACACTGTTCTTTGTCTTTTAGGTGAGGTGGCTGCTGTCTGCAATGGGAAGATCAACCAGTCCCAGTCTACTGAGGAGGCAACAGAAGCTACAGAGGTACCAGAGAATGGTACAAGTGAGGCAGAGCCTGCTCAGGCCCGGCCTGGGCCCCTCACGGAGCACGTGTTTACAGATCCAGTCCCTGCACAGGCGCCTCTTAGGCAGAATGGGTAGGCAGTCTGGGGCCAAAGTGCCAGTTCAGCTATTTATCAGCTCTGTTTTCATAAGGTTTTTTTTATAAGAACCAGCCTTATCATCTAATAAAGTGTCAAAGTGTTTTCTCAGTTTTGTGCCCAAACAGTATTACAGATGGGATGATAGAGAGAGAGAGAAATGAAAAGAAAATAAACGTGGTTCAACCTGCAGCAGACTTGTCAGCTGTTTAAGTGCACATGCTTGTTCTCTCAATATGAATTAAGACCTGCTGTTAAGACAGATCTTCCAAAGTACATGTACACTTAATGTTCTTACTGAAGGAGCTTATTGATTCGTGTGTAAAAACAACCGATTTATTCTAGTAGTACCTCTAATGTGCTGTAAAGATAATGAAGAAAGTGTATTCACTACCCAAAAATTCTTAAGATGTATGAGTCTGATGTGGTGGCCTGAGGAGCAACATGGAGGTCTTGGATAGAAATTGTTCCTAAATGACCAAGTTGTTCTAAGTTGTTTCTGTTGAAGTTGGAAATGAACAAAGAAAATACTATTTATGTAATAGTAGTGCCAAACACCAAGTTAAATTCTGCAGTTTTGAAGTACTTGCTATTTGTATTGGTGGGGAAAAAAGGAAGTTTTGCAGATTGTGGATTTGGGAATCAAGCAATTAAAAAACATGGAGAGAAGGAAGTGATTTGGGTATACAAGGGCCCTTACCTGCTTGTGAATGCCAGACTGTGAGCTACATGAGCATTCTGTCCATTGCTGCTGCCCAAGCCTTTAACAATGTTCTTTTGCCTCTTCAGGGAGAATGGGCAGCTGAAGACAGAGTCAAGCACAACACTGCCAGATCAGGAGTCAAATGGGGATGCTGCTGGGACTTGCACCAGTGCTGCCCCCACCATGTGGCTGGGAGCACAGAACGGCTGGTAGGTTCCCTTTGGGCTGACAGATCTCTGTCACCTCGGTTCTCTGGGCTCCACTTCTCATATCCGCACACCTTTAGTTCACTTCTTGTTTCTGGTGTAGGTGTTCATTGCTCATTGTTGTTCTGAGCCCTCAGCTCATCATAGGCACAGGGATTTAACCTCACTTTCTTACCTAACCTCCATCTTTCTTACCAGAAGAAAAGACACAAGCCTAGTCAGGCTGAAGGTGTGGGGCCTTGCTGCTAACCCTCCCTGATTTGTCCTTTCTCACAGGCTTTATGTGCACTCGGCTGTATCCAACTGGAAGAAGTGTCTGCACTCGATAAAGCTGAAGGACTCTGTACTGAGTCTAGTGTAAGTGTGCATGCCAGGGGATGCTGAAGGAGAAGGTTCAGTGCCTAAGTGATATTTTAGATGGGGGTAGCACCTCCTTGTGAGTCATCTTTCTCTTTGCTCTTCTAATTGCATGGTTTGTGAGGAAAGTTTCCCAAGTTTTTTGTTACTGAAATGCCTCATACTGAGCTGTTTTTCTGCTCAACTGCAGACCTGACCCAATTCAGTGAATAAGGTACTAGACTTATCAGGAGGAAATAAGTGGGGAGGAGAAAGGCAAAATTTCACTGGGATATAAGTTAGGTGGAATTTGTTGAAATTGGTGAAGTTTGTAGTGTGAAGGAGAAGTTAACCTCAACAGGAAATTTATGGATGGTCTTACTACAACGAAGGTAAGAGGTATGACCCTTGGTCCTTGCAGGATGTTCCTGCAAGGGCTAAACTGAATAGGAATAAAGAACATAGAGATGGTGTGTGTGTGTATGTCAGAAAGGATTTGTTAGTCCCTTACTCCTACAGATTTTTGTAAGTACTTACTTTTCTGTGATTTCAGGCATGTGAAAGGGAGGGTCCTTGTTGCTCTGGCAGATGGAACACTAGCCATATTCCACCGGGGAGAAGGTAAGAATCAATGTAATAAGAGAAAACTAAACTTGGCCGGAAGTGTAGGAATGTATTAAATGCTATTCTGAGTTGAGAAGGAAAGGTGCTGGCTTGCCAGAGTACAAACATACGGTTAAAATGCATAGCAATTATACACATGTAATTTCTATCCTGAAACATCTATGGCACACTTTACCACCATTTCCTGAGCTTTTCTGAACAGAAACGTGTATGTACTGTGTAGCACATGGAGAATAAATACAACACTTCTAGGAACACATACGCTGTGCAGTTGTTTGAGGCATGCTTGGTAAGTTTAATGCATTTGGGCCCTATTGGTGTTACTGTGCATTCACACATCAGCTGTAATGGGGCGTGCACAGGGAGCTCCACACAGCTGAGGCTGTGCCCTCACCTCTACAGTTGCAAAAAGGCCTGATGCTTCCCAGAGAAGTTGGACTCCGTATAAGTAGTGGCACTGGTGACTGCATACACAGCAGGCAGGGCTGGGGTTGTCTGGAAGTCTGGAAATCCCAAATAAATGGAGCCTTTGAATTACACTTGGTCAGTTTTTCTTGTTTCAAAGAAGAGATGTCTGAGTAATCTAATGTGCCTTAATCTTGTCAGTTCAAGATACCTTTTGAATTCTGTATTTCTTGTCCTCTTCACTACTGTAGGTTTTGTTTCCCTATGACTTGAGTAGTTCCTGAGCTGTGTTCATGCCTGAAAGCATGTGGGAATTTGCTAACTGTAACTAATGTTTGCATATTAAGAACTTAGTTAGTCACTGTGTAGCAGTTTATCCAGCAAGCTAAAATACAGAGATTTCTGGTTTTGTGCAATCTAGATTTTGATTCACCCTTTGTCATGAGTTCAAGCCTGACCCCTGACACATAAAAATAGTTCCCATCAGAAACAGGCTAAAGCTCCATGACATAGAGGCCACGTCTCTGTGAAGAACACAGTATCTGCCAGGTTAGTTAGAAAATAAGCATGAGAGAAGGAAGATTGATTCCTTATCCTGGATTTGACACTTCATGTTGTCTGTCTGGGATAGGAGGAAGCCTCACCACAAGGTCCATTTCCTTTCAAGTTTCAGCATATAGCCTTGTTAGGCTGTCTTTTATTTTTCCCCTGCTGTTTTTGTTATACTTGTTAGAGAAGCCTGTTCACTTCATTACAATAAAAGAATGTTTAAATCAGCCTGATTTGGAGATCTTTCAGTCCACCAAACTAAACTTTATTGTTATGTGTTTCGTAAGTATCTGTGCCCAAAGTAGTATTCTGGATTCATGGGTAGTTCACAGACCTAAGCAAAATGAGCATTTGAGTATTAGCTAAGCCTGTATACCTAGATATACATGGAATGGTAGATGATTCTGTTGTATACTGACATGTCATGAAGGAGATGCATCTTTCCGCACTTGTTTTTCACCTCAGATGGTCAGTGGGATCTCAGTAATTATCACCTAATGGACCTCGGTCACACTCACCATTCCATCCGCTGCATGGCTGTTGTGTATGATAGAGTCTGGTGTGGCTACAAGAACAAAATCCACGTTATTCAGCCTAAGACAATGCAGATTGAGGTAAGAAAGCGAATGTGTGTATGTGCATGCACATGCTTGCTTCTGTTTTATTTATTCTTAGAGCTGTTTTCTGCAGCAGTGTATGGAAATGCAGAACGTTGCTGACTGTAGGATCCAAACTGCCAGGGGGACTATTTATTCCTTCCTCCCTTTGCAGAGCTTAAATCTTCAGATAAGTCTAAACTGAGCACTTTCTTTCCCTTTACTAGTCAGTCAGTGAGGCCCCATACTGTGCAAATGTAGGTGCTTGCTTTGCAGCTTCCCTTCATATATGATCTAAGATTTCTCCATCTGTAGGCATTGTGGCACAGAGGCAGAGTACAGTTAGCAAGTCCCAGTGATTCCACTTGCCTAAGAAAAAAATGATGTTTAGAGCCTTTTGGTTGAAATTCAATATGGTGGTTTTGGTACAAACCTATTTGACAGTTCTTGGAATAATTCTAATCAAAGGGAGAAGTGCTGAATCTGAAGTTCACATTGCTAAGCCAAGGCAGTTTGATCTTTGGAATTTATGGTGGAGTTGTGTGTTTTCCTTTTCTATCAAGCACATTGAAAGCTCTTGCTTTCTAATGTTCATGCTCCTGAATTGGTCTTCAAAGACCGTGATCTCTGCAGAACTGCTATACAACTCATCATAAGTGAGGGATTTTCTGTATACTGTAGTGAACTTCTGAGGTTATCTGGCATTAACATATTTTCTCCAAGAGCTTTGAAAGCCAAACAAAGTGATCTCGGTTGAGGAAAATGGCGTCTGTGTGTAGATAATTGCAAACCTTTTGTCAACCCACATTGGTATGCCTGTTTGGTGTTTCAGAAATCCTTTGATGCTCACCCTCGGCGGGAGAGTCAGGTGCGACAGCTGGCTTGGATTGGAGATGGAGTGTGGGTTTCCATCCGCCTGGACTCCACTCTGAGGCTTTACCACGCCCACAGCCATCAGCATCTGCAAGATGTTGACATTGAGCCTTATGTCAGCAAGATGCTAGGTGAGGCAGTAGGGACTGTCAGTGAATGGTCTGTTGCTTACTGAGATCAAAGAGATAACAAAATCCATCAGCCAAGCCATAACTGACTCTCCAGTTGTCTTGCATTCCCATTAGGCACTGGGAAGCTGGGCTTCTCCTTCGTGCGGATCACAGCCCTGCTCATTGCTGGCAACCGCCTCTGGGTAGGGACAGGGAACGGTGTCGTCATCTCCATTCCACTGACTGAGAGTAAGTGACAATTGTTGGAGATACTTCTGCCCTGCCCCCCCGGCCCACCCCCCCCACC